TTCAGCCGGGAGCCATTCTTTATTTAGATTTTGTCCCCTTTAATCCCAGAGCACTTTAAGAGGATGTGGCCGTGGTCAGAGATTTCTCCATGTCGCTCTCTGCTGCGTGATTCATAAAGTCAGATGGTTCCACTACATGGCCTCTCACTTCCCTCAGCTCTTGTCTGCTCTTCTCAGCCTCCCGAAAACTTCCTTTTTCTGAGATCTTTTACGACTTTTTGACATTGGCTGACATGAAGCTAATGTCTCGAAGGAAGCGCTCATAAAGTCACAGCCGCTGACTTCCACTGGATGACTTCTTCCTATTCAAGATTTCTCTGAAGGCACTCATCAACTTCTTCAACATACAGCAAACTTTTTCATTTAAATGTTTCCAGGATGCCGCCTCTAAGAATGAACTGTCAGCTCCACTAACAAGACACGCTTCCTGGAAGATGTCTGCTCTCAATGGCTCGTGAGTTTTTACTGGTTATAAAACAGATTGATACGAATCATTCTTTATGACCTTCAAAGCAAACAAGACCATCAGTGACAAGTCTGACTATCTCTATATTGTAGTTTTTCAAGTCTGTAACAGCTGCCATGAGGTAGGTGTCAGACGGGATGATTCACAGCATGCTGAAGAGACACTTTTTTCTTCTTCAACAAAAATTCACAATAAGTGACAAATGCAAACTGTTACAGGAAAGCAGGATGAAGTTTAAGTCAGTTAACACTACAGTGTCTATGCATGTTCAGGGCGCGAGCAACAAAGACAAAGGAAGTACAGCTTTGTCCACAGGGGGGCGTCAGAAGTTACACAAATTCCTCTTTAACGATGTTTTAATTAACTTAAGCGAGAAAAAAAGACAACTTAATCCTCTGCATTTAGTTTATAATTAACAAATGGTTTCTCACTTTAAGACACATTTTATTTATTACCTGATAGAGTAGCCTTTTTAGGGTCATGAAAGTCATATAAATAAAACTACTTCTGGTCAGCACCTCCAGGTCCGAGGCCATGCTTCTTTGCAATGGATCGCTCTCTCTGGGTGGGGAGTGAGTCCTTGCCCCAAGTGAAAGAGTTTAAGTATCTTGGGGTCTTGTTCCCCAGTGAGGGTATAGGATGGACCATGAGATTGACAGGTGGATTGGCTCGGTGTTGGCAGTAATGCAGGCGTTGTTCAGTACTGTAGTTGCAAAGAGGGAGCTGAGCCTGAAGGCAAATCTCCTAATTTACCAGTCAATCTTCCTTCCAACCCTTACCTGTGGTCATGAGCTCTGGGTAATGACTGAAAGAATGAGATCGGGGACACAAGCAGCCAAAATGATTTTCCTCCTGAGAGTGGCTGGGCTCGGCCTTAGAGATAGGGTGAGGAACTCTGACATTCAGGGGGGATCTCGGACTAGAGCCGCTTGGGATGCCTCCTGAACACCTCTCTTTTGAGGTCTTCCGGGCACACCCAACTGGGAGGAGACCCAGAGGTAGACCCAGCATTTATTCCTGCTGGCCTAGGAACGCCTCAGAATCCTCCAGAAGGATCTGGAAAACATAACTAGGGAGAGGGAAGTCTTGGTGGACTGAACAACCCAACCTTGAATAAGCAAAAGAAAATGGATGGATTTCTGGTTAAAAAGGTTTTTTGTTCGGTCAGAGGCTAATAAAAATGAAGCAGAATGTTTGGGACATGTGAGATCCACTAGAGATTTGAATGAATCTGTATACCACATTGTATCGTGCGATGTCAAACCTTGAGCTTTTTACTCATCTTCCTTCAGAGCTATGAGTAAATATTTTTACAGAGCTGTGCATTAGATCTCAAGAACTGCATCAAGGAGAGAAGTACTTTACATAAAAGGCCATGAAGGACTTTTTTCCTTTTTGCAGATTTTGTGTACTGGTGATCATTTTAGCCTGCATGGAATATATGAAGGAGAAAAAACCTTCTATATGACTTTATGATAAAGTATTGACAGACGGATGAGCATATTCACTGGAATCAAATGAGATTCTCTCTGAACGCCGGCAGCAGTTTATCAAAAGGTGAAAATAAAATGAATCTTTATCGATCCCTGTGGGGAAGTCAGACCTCTGAAGCAGCTAATATAATGGAGTTTAGAAAGAAAACAAACCCTGAGGAGGGTGGAGGTCTATGTCTGACCTCAGGGGAACAGCATGACAAAGACCATACGTTAACACTGCAAACCTTCATGGGTCAAATTCAAGAAGGAACCTAAAAAAACAACGTGTTTAAAAAACAAAGTAAATGTGCAAGTGCAAAATCCTGCAGTTCTTCAAGTGTCCACTTCAAGTGTCCAGAAGTCACATACACACCCATTCAAATAAGTCTATTTTTACAGCAGAAATTACCATGTTTACAGCCTGGTTAAAAAACAAAAAACAGTCTGATTAGCTAATGTCTCGATTGGTCTACGCTGTTGTTGAATCTTTTGATAAGACTCGCTGATTAGATTAGCTGAGTGTGGCAGAAACAGCGAAAGGAAATGTAACGAATGCTGACAGTGTCATTGATCTGTTCCGCTGAGGGATCTGTGCTGTAGCTCTTCCAGCCAATCCCTGCTGTGCAGACTCTGGTTACACATTCTCAATATGTCAGCACCAGTCACTGGGATATTCTGGCTTCATCTTTACCCAACGGGAGAAGATTGAAGCATGTTGTCCATTTGTTTATATTGGCTATGGTCTTAACACCTCACAGAATTTAACTCAATTATATTTAACAAGAAAAGACGCAGAAAGAAAACTGAGCTTTTAAGAAAGAGTTTTTTTAGTGAGTGGTATGTAACCATGATTTGAAACTTACCATTGGGAACAAGGCACCGATTGGTTGAACACTGAACAGAATTATGTTTTAAAAAATTGTGTTTGATAGTTGTCAAAAGTTCAAACTGCTTTAGAGTTTAAACCCACAGAGAGAACAGCTGCAGAAATGTTCTGCCTTTGAAGCGCCTTTTAAAATCTAATATCTATATGTTGGTTTTGATGTGCAAGGTTTTCTTTTAATCAGAGTTGAGTGTTTAACCTTCCGTTTATTGACAATGAGATTGCAGCTCATCTGCTGGAGATTTGTTCTCAAGGATGAACATGTTCCACTTTTATCTGTTCTTTAAAGAGATTCAGCACACTCGAATGCTGAAGGATAAATGGGACCCAGCCTTTCACATATTCAAAAACCATACAGCGCTTTGTCCAACAGTGTCTCGCGCATGATTACTCATTTTCAAACAGGTCTATTGGAAGCAGCTACAAACATTAAAACGAGGACATCTTGAACTAAATGCAGATTACATACCTGCTAAACGTCCCACTGGTTTCACATGTGTTAAGAAGCAGCAGCGAAGAACATGAACTGAAGGCTCATTTATACTCTCAGAGACAAACAGAGCCTTCTGCTGTCCATATTCTGCGTTCATTACTTACATATTTCTTCATGTTTTCATGGAAGCAATATGGATATGCACCAAACGTTGCAACAGAGAGCATTGTAGAGCAGTGTACCAATGTGAACACATGTTTTAGAGGATGCAACTGAAGCAAAGATCCTGGATGAAGGTACGAGGATCAAAGTTATGGTTATACACAGAAATAGGCTATAGCTGTTTTCCTTTTGCTGTAATTATGCTACACAAGATCAGCTATGCTAACCTCCTATACCACTGTAGTTAGCATAGAGATACACACAATATGTAACTCTGACGCCTAGTGTTTAAAATGGGTACTACAATCCAAATTCTAAACATTGTACAGAGCTGTCTCCCCCCGCCCCTCCTCTTTAGAGTGGATGTTCACTCAGGTCACCATGTGGTGGACTCTGAAGCTTCAGTGTTTATCCAGCTCTGCATGGGTCTGTAAACCTTTCTGTGTTCTAACCTCTCTCCATTTTTCAAAAGCATCTCCAATATTGATCCTAGTTTGAGCACGTTTCTGCTCGTGGAGCTTATTAGAAACATGCAGAGGCGTTTTAGGTCGGGTACAATCACTTCTATCTGAACCACTTCTCTTGACCCGCTTCCATCACTGCAACACCTGTTGACCTGATAACTGCTCTCATATCTGACAAACCGGGGGGCGTCCAAAACGGCCGTGTGGGGTCGCCTTAAGGGGGGACCAGGGGACCTCTCTGGTCCAAACCAATCCAGAGCATTCAGGAGCAGAATCTAAAGTTAGAAGGAGGACATACGGGCTGCTGCATTGTTGTCAGAGAAGCCAGCACTTCAACATAGCATGTTTCCTTAATGTCTTATCATATAGTAAGCTCACTTCATCATTTCAGTAAATATCTAGATTGGACCTTTACAGTTAGCTGAAACTTTGTATGATGACGTGTCGGTTTTGCATCAATACCGTTTGCTTTTCCAAAAGCAATTTATCGGACCACCTGGTTGTTTTTGCAGAAACATTACAATACTTTTTAAAATAAATATGCAAAAATTAAGAATGCTGCTGTGCTCCAACTAAAGAAAAGATAACCTGTGTGTAATTATTTGTGTGCAATACAACAGTTTAATAAGCACACTGAAATAATGCAGCAGTGATTTATTTATTCTCTGGGTTGTGTTCTCAACATGTACTTGGAGCCTAATGACACACTGCACCCTGCTATTATGGGTATAAGGGAAATAAAAGATATATTAAGATATTAGTCTCCAGCGTGGAGCCATTTTAATCCCTCAAAAGGAAGGAAAATATAATTTCACAGACAATGGGCTATAGAATGTAGCTCGCTGAGAATAATCCTCTTAATTGGCAATTAATGCATTTTAAATGGCACCTTTCAAAGCCAGTGTGCGGAATGATTTGAGCATGAAGGTTACTCAGAGAACAGAGCCTTTATTAAGAGTTTAGATCTGTGATAGTAAATCACATTCCTCCTGTCTGCCATCAGCCATCGCAGATATTCTGTGTATTTCCGGACCAGCAGCTGCAGCTCTGGAAGTTTTGGTATTAAATGAGCTATAGGAGACTTTTGTGAGCGGGCTGACTGACACCGCCTCCCCTCCTGCCTGCTGCCCCGCTCGGTCGGTCTGGTAAAAGGCGCATGTGTGTGTTAGTGCTGTGATGTGAGTTGAGCCACATCCAGACGCACTGGCCGCCGCTGGCTGATGCTGCCCTCTCCTCCACCTCCCCCCCCTCTCTCTCTCCTCTCCTCTCTCCTCTCATCTCCTCTTGGTGGTGTTGTGCGCAAAAATCTCCAGCGCCGGACGGACGGACGCAGTTTGACGGCACAAACGCGCGGCTCTGCGGAGGGGGAAATATCCAAGAAAAAAGAAGGACATCCACATCAGACCATGGATATTTAAGGGACATTTGAATTATTTTTCCTATCTATTTGGTTTTTTTTTCTTCTCCCCCCGTGATGTTGCTTTTGCCCCGGGGTTGTTAATTAAAACCTGCTCGATGTCTCTCATCAGTTTATAACCGAGACCAAAATGAGGATTTCTTCTCGCGACTGGTTTCTGTTGATGTTCTCGGGCTTTTGGGGACTGACAATGGGTGCTTTCCCGAGCAGCGTTCAGATCGGTAAGTGTGTGAGCCCTTAATGTTGAATCCCGAGCAGGGGGGATGAATCATGTGGATGAATCTGTGGACGTCCTGCATGCTGCCATTTAACACCTCAGCACTACTCAAAGTGGAGATTTTCTTCCGCAGTCTTTTTTTCTTTTTCTTTATTCTCCACATGCACACCGCGTTGTTGCCTCTGTTGATGCTGTGCATGTTTAAAAACACACACCTAATGCGCTTTGTATCTGCAGGCTAACAGTGTGTGTATCCCGGTGCACTCCGCCACTGCAGCAGATCAGAGCAGCAAAGTGTGTGTGTGTGTGTGTGTGTGTGTGTGTGTATTCCCTATGCAGGCTGCCTGTGCATTGACTGCTGTTAACACTCTCGCAGACCCCCGGTCCCCACTCTCTGTGCCTCGGTCCCACAGGCCTCACAGCTCCTCTTATTTCCTCTTATTTCCCCCCCCAGTTGGACTCTTTTTTAAAATAAACACTTTGCATGCTTGTATTCAAAAACTCCACAGGAGGGGAATAAAAGATGAAGGATTCATGGTTTTTAATTTCACTAGCAGGCAGATTGACTGGTTTGATTTAAAGGCAGGGAATGAAAAGAAGGGCAAACTGTGACCTCCAGTTGTTGATCATCACAACCCTCCCCAAAAAAAATCAATTATCAGAAAAGCAGTCATTCATGCTTTTTTTGCCTTTATAAATCCCACTCCCTCAGATTTTTTTTTTGATTGCCCAAAGAAGGTGTAAGAGTCTTAATTCTGGAGCTAATTTCTGCAGTCCGAGTGACTTTTTTTAAAAATGCTTTTCCGTTCCCTGCATGCCTGCTTGCTTGCAGAGTTAGTCGAGGCACATCAGAAACGCTGAGGCTGATGAAAAATGACAAGCTGTTCAAATGATTCTCCTTGTCCTTTTATATCAACGTGATACTCGAATCCCCCCCGGCCCCCCTCCAGGGAGGTGTGAGGTCAGAGGTCAGGGTCTGTTACAGAACAGCACCCCTGCAACAGGGGACGCTTGATCCGGGGTGGGGGGTGGTTTTAACCTGCATCTGTGCTTCTGCTGTGCCATCATGCTAAAGTCATGCATCCTGCTGGTCGAAGCAAAACGACTGAATTTTGCCTTTACAGTTTCTGCGCTTTCCTCAGACTCATATTCCTCAAATTATATCCACTTTCTTTGATCTTCTTTTGCTGCCAGTAATTGCACACATCTTGATATAATACCTGTGTCATCATATTTCTCCATCAGCACTGAAACTGACCTCTGAAAGTGCCAGTGTCTCCTCACAGACGTGGATGCTTTCTGCATTTAACACCTTCTGTAGTTTGTAGCATCACATCACATCAGAGTGCAAACATCCCTCTTTGCAACACTCATCAGTTTCAAATAATTATCACTGGAAAATCAACACTTATTAGCAGGGGGGAACTGGCTGTGTACACATGCATGCAGCACAGCAACGTGTGCACAAACAGAGTCGTGGCAAACGTGCTAGTGCCACAGATACATTCTGACAGTCACACATTTAAAGACAGATCTGGAGGATTATAGATCCCGCTTTGACTCATGCCCCATGCGTCTCTCTTTCTGCTTTAGACAGTCTGTGGAGGGCGGAGGGGGCCAACGTTGACAGGAAGTCAATCCGTTGGCAAAATGAGAAAGAAGTAGTAAAATAGTAAAAAAAAATGACAAAGACGCGAACTGATTCACATTTACCTTCAAAGTGAGCCAGGTTTTCTTTTGGCGCGAGCATCACATAAAAAGATCTTCAAGAGCTCTGTAAGCATTCATTGGTCCTCATCTAAAGATTTCAAAGCTTGTGTCACTTCTGAAGAATGACTTTACATCATCTGAGCAGCCAGGCTGTGTGTGGAAGGGAGCATGTCTGCAGAGGTTATTCACTAAGGTGTAACTGATGTGGTCAAATTCTTACACACTGTGACCAGTTATATCATGGAGACTTCAAATCCACCTGATTTAACATGAAGTGTTTATCTGATAGTGTGTTCAGGATACAAGAATATTACTCCTTGATACCATACTAATGAAAATCAAATATTAGTACCTGTTGCGATACCGCTTCAGAACAAAGAAACATTATATATTATTTTTAAATAGAAGTCCTAGATGCCTAGTATTTGTTATTTTTTTGTGTTAAATGACTAAAGATTTCAAGCAAACTCCTGCACAATGTGTCACCTCCTCTGCTCTTTCTCTATTTTTTAGAGACGTAAACGTAATTTTTGCATCTTTATAAGACCCCAAATGGACTTAAGTAACGTCAGTATTTGCAGACCTTTGAGTTTGAGTCGACCACCCCTGCTCTCTCTCTTTCGCTTGCTGCAGCTTCTGGCTACAAATATCTCTGAAGATCTGCATGTTTTAAAGCTTCTGTACTTTTCTGATACTGTTGTATTGTTTCAGAATAAGAAGTATCAAAAAATGTCCATCTGGATCCATATCAAGGATCTGATATCTGACTTACTATGATAATGATAATGAATAACTCGTGTTACTGTAGGTTTTAATGCATGCCGAATACATTGCAATTAGCATCGACAAGACCTCATGTGAGGATAGAAATGTTCATCATTACTCCATCTCTTCCATCTGTCTAGAGCCGCTCATCAAAAGGCTGCAGATACTCACTCCTCAGGAAAGGAAAAAAATAAATTGAGCCCATGCCGCATCAGTTCCTCCTAATGCCTTCCAACACAGAAGACTTTTGGAAGACTCGGGTCTCTAAAGACTTCCTCTCACATCCAAAAATAAAGAGACATTTTACAAGACAGAGGATCCTGAAGGAGAACTGTTTCTTACAAGACTACAACTAGATCATGTCTGAATTCATTTCTGATCCTGGTCCTGCTGGAATTTGATCCAAAACAAACATGACGCAGACCTTTTTGTGTGCAGCAGTTTGTTCTTAAATCGTGCAAAATATGACATAGACCCCGACTGACAGGAGCCAAGTCTTGTTTAGGTGTTTGTGCCTCACCAGATCCTCCTTAATGTTTGCTCTGTACCTGGACGCTGCCTCCTGTTTATGGCTGCAGTGAGTGAGTTCAGTATTTGTCAGAGCCAAGACTACAAAAATCCTCAAATTTTAATCATGTTTTATTGTTTTTTGAACGCCAATACGAGAAAGGGGGATTTAAACCGTTCTGACTGAGTTTTAAAAAACTACACCGAATAAGAACATAGCGGCCAAACGCTTTTTATTCCAACGATGGAAATAAGGGTTCAATCTTCAATATATCCGGAATATAATATATATAAAATAGGGACCGCGAGTAAAAGGGAAAGTCATATCACAGGCAAGTAGCACTGCCTACCTCCTCTATTCACTTGTTGTCTGTAATTGAGTTTTTTTTTTTTTTATGAAACCGCCACTCCACAAGGTTTATTCACTGAACAGTAAACCACATATTTATTTAAATGCATGAATTTGACCTATTGATGGAGAAAAGCTGTTTAAAAAAAGTGGCGCCGCTAGCTTGGTATGTGTCGTCCTGCATCCTGGCACGTGTTGCATAGAGCGGCTGCATGTTATACATAATGAATGGAAACGAATTTTCAATCACCTCAGGTCCTCTGCAGAGGGTGACGGGGGGAAGTTGCGCTTGCGGTCATGACGGAGCAGCATTTCTGACTGATTTATGGGTCACACTGGTGCGTTGCATTTAGGAGTTAGCTAGCATAGGACTCTGGAGGGACTGCAGCCCAATGCCACGAGAATCACAGGAACTTCCTAGATAGCTACACTAGCATTATGCTAGTAAGCGTCCCCATTTGGCAAAAACTCTACCAACTGAGCCACAGCCGCCCAAATAAATAGCATGTTTCAAGTTAGCCAGGCTATCGATAAGTAGCCTTAGCATACCAATGGTTAGTTCCATCTGTCCTGTGACCTGCACAGTGCAGCCGTCCCCACTCAAGAGTATCCTGCATTGTTTCTCTTTGACCAGAGGCAGTTGATCAATCAGCAAGCTTTCTTCCATCAATTTGCATTTGTAGATGTGATTTAAATGCAAGCAGAATTTAGCTAACACTCATAATTCCTTTAAATTTTAAAAGCCAGATGTCATCTTCTTGGCAGAATATGCCAGGTGGAAATGGGGTCAAAAACAAACAGGCGCTTTGGAGCCACAAGAGTCTTGTTTTTTTGGCAAACCATATGGCATTTATGAAACTTCAAAGAGTGGGGCGCCTTCGGTGTGTAATTTTTGAATCTCATTTTGTGTAACAGCGAGCAGAAGGGGAAGTCATAGCTGAGTAAGTGGGATTTAGGTCAAAGCTGGATTTCTATCCTGTTTTAATTAGCAGTGAAGATAAAGTTCTCAAATCTGAAATGTGTAGAGGGCATTCCTACTGATCACTACACAACTTGAACTATTCAGACCGTGTTTGTTTTCTGTTGAAGAAGCAGGAATTAACACCTCCTGAGAGACGTTAGACCATCACAGTGGAAATCATATAAAAAACAGCTCCAGTGATTCAAACAACTATTTCTGTTCCATTTATACAAAGAGATGAAAAGGATTTACATGAATTATTCTAAAGTTTACCTTTTAAAGAGGTCAGCCGTAAAAAAGCACAGACTGGCATTTTGCTTTAAATGACATTTGCACAATCTCGTCGCAAGAAAATACAGCCTGAAGGACGATATTCGAAAGTGAAACAAACTGCTGCCAACCTTAAACACAATGCTGACATTTGCATAATCGTGAACTGCATCGTTGAGATGGACGCTGCTGGGTTTTAAAAGAAAGAAAGAAAGAAAGAGAAACCAGGAGTGAAGTCTTATCTCTAATGCCAAACTGATCTTTGACACTGGAGCGGCTCATGCGTAAAAACCTGAATGAAAAAGCTGAGCTGATCCAGACAGATATTTAGAGATTGATATCATTCTTTCTCCTGCATTAATATCAAACAAAGGAGATAAATATACGAATCCGACTGCATCGTACACTGTCACAAAGCCCTAATGATACTGAGAGTCATGAGTTGCTATGCTGCAAGATTAACTCAGAATTGCGGTTGATAGGATATTGGCAGAGTGATTTAGCAGAACAATATTGGCCTTTTATTGCATTTCATATATAGTCCAGCCAGTTGAGTCTGCCACTAATATGATCTAGGATCCCTCTCTGACCACAGCTACTAAAACTGTCTGTGAATCCCCTTTTAACGTTTTCAACGCTTTAAAAAAATGGAGGTTTAAAAACCCTCATTCAGCCGTTTTCATTTCAAAGGTCTTGGTTTCTTGTTACCATGATCTTGCCCCTTCCCAATCTTGAAAAGTTTGTGTGATTTATTGTGTTAGTCCGACTAAATCTGGACTTTTTAAACTGCATGGAGGCATGTTAATCTGACTGAAATCATACCGAGTCAAATTTCTCAAAGGTGGATTAACACACTTAGATAATGTGGTTGGGGGGTTGACTTACTCTTTCATTCATACACGTCAAACTGGTGTTATGCACATGAACTACAGTTCCCTCATTTAACTCAGAAGTAGAAATCATGCGTAGAGGTATGTTGTATCTGCTGAGGGACTTAAACGTATTAAAGTACATCAATGGACGCAAAATGGTGATTGTTTGGTAAATGGCCTAATGATCAACCAGAAGAAGGTCTAAGAGTAACTAGCTGAAATGGGGCATGTCGCCACCTACCGTAACAGAGTTCTACATATGATGAACTGATTCTGCCCCCATACTTGTATACTGGACATTATATTAAAAACCATAAAAAAAGTTTCTTAACCTTTGACCTTGTGTTTTTTTTTTTTTTTTTACCCCAATCCCAAATGAATCCGCTGACAGTCAACATTTAGGATTTTTCTTTCTCTACGGATTGCAATGTCACTTAATTTGGTCCAGACTGAAAAAGATTGAATGATATTGATTGATATCTTTATTTAAACATTTAACTGGAATAAAGGTAGATGCTTAATTTTGACCAGTGATGCAGCTGTAGCGTTACAGACTGTATAGATGCTAAGAAACCAACATAGCACCTCCCTATTATTTAACATTGGTCAGAATAATACAAACTTCCCCAAAGGGAAGAATGAAGTGTATCGTACCATGTTGTGTCTTTAGTTAAAACTACCACGATCATGACGCTAATTCTGTTAGCCAGTTAATGGCGATTCCACTATGTTTTGGCCTCATGCTAAAAAACTAAGATATACATCCAGGTCCATCTGCGAGAATATTTTTGTGTGATAAAAATTCTAAATCTTTTTTGTCTGAGTTTTAGGTTCAGGCTGGTCCACTAATCCAGAAATTAGAGTATGATACACATACTCCTAAAATTTATGCAACAACAGATCTTCTCAAGAATGATTTCATTAATGGCCATGAAATTTGGTGCATCCATTTATGATCCCCTCAGGATGAATACTAATGACTTTGGTAATCCCCTGACGCTTCTCGAGCGCCACAAGCCGGTCAAAGTTTTCATTTTTGAGTGAAAATATCTATCGGGGGCTTCAGTGCAAAAACATTTCCCAGACTTTGATCCCCTGCCTTTTCCTCTATTGCCACCAGCATGTTGACATTTTCCTCCATAGAGAAATGTCTCGACAACAATTGGATGGATTGCCATGACATTTAATACAGATATGTATGGTCCCCAAAGGGTGGATTGTAATCACTTGGGTAGACCCCTGGCTCTCTTCCAAACACATCATCATCAGATCAGTGTTTCCGATACTTTCGTTAATGACTCAACACCTTTAGATTAATGACATTTTCATCACCCTTTGATGTACTTTATGGTTGATGCTTATTAGCATCATCAGCATGCTAAAGGGCTATGTTTAGATGTTGAACGTGGTTAGCATACAAGCTTTTTCCCCATTAGCATTTGGCTACTCTTCAAATGAACAATCTCACAGATCTAATGACTGCAGACTCTTGCTTTAATTCAAACCACAACCTTCCCCTCAAGTTAATGATGTATTTTGTGCACATCAAGCTTAACATGCATAAGCAGTGGCAGAAAAATAACAGTGAAAGAAGTTCAGATCATCTAAGTGCGGAGACTCTTTCTTAACTTTGAAAATTTGCTTTACAACCGTCTCCAACGACCTTCTTCAGCAATTTAATGTTGCTCCTGGGTCAAGTGCAGAACTTAACATAAATAGTAAATGGAGGAAAGGTTCATAACCCTTAACAAGTAATTTTGTCTTTAAAGTGGAGTCAGAGCAGAAACACTCAGATCATTTACAGAAGAAATAACAAACAGCTGATTTAACTCGTAGTGTGCTGGACTTGCCCATAATGGTCAAGTTCTACTTTTACGATCAGGATCAAACTTCCCTTTGCAAAGGAGGGAAGAATTTTTTTTAAACTCTTTAAACTTTTTTCTAACTCTCCTACAGCACAACAAAATACACTTGGTTTCGGTTCAAAGTGAAAAAAGGTTGATCCTAACTCGTAAATATTGTATAAACATCGTATTCGTAAGGATGAGTAAGGATATCAAACCCAACAAACGGGGTTTTCTGACATTAAAGTTAATCAATTGACACATTACGTTTTTTAGTATCTCTAAAATTGTTGTCACAATAACCAGATTTTAAAACTGCAAACGATTCTAGTGAAAATCACACGATATTATCGATACCTGTTTCGTTACCATGGCAACATACTACATGGAAGTCCTAGGCTCCCAATATTGGGTCGTTTCTTGTTTTTATTATTACCACAAGTTGCAAGAAAATTCCTGCATACTGTCCAAGTTGCACAAATATGTTGCCGATGTATTTGTGCAATTCAAACAACAGTGCTCTCTTTCACCTGAAGCAGCTTTTGGTTAGAAATAAGACCAAGTTTTTTTTTTAAGTTTGGTACTTTTCAAACAGTTGATCATAACAACCATGGAGATTATATATATTTTTGAAACACATGGTATCAAAAAGTATTGACAACCCCACCGGCTGCTGTTCTTTTTCAGATGTTTGTGTCTAACCTTTGAAAATTTGCAGGTAGAGTGGTGATTGTTTCATCTGTTTCCGTCTTTATTTAACTTGCTTCGTCCCTCTTCTCCCTTGCGCAGTAATTGAACTCTCTTTGGTGAGGTTGTGGATTCGTCTCAGGTGCTTCTTGTTTCCCTTTGCCCCTCATCACACCTGTGTTTCTCCTCACTTTCTGTTCAGGTGGTCTGTTCATCAGAAACACTGATCAGGAGTACACTGCCTTTCGGTTGGCGATCTTCCTGCACAACACCAGCCCGAACGCCTCGGAAGCCCCGTTCAACCTGGTGCCTCACGTGGACAACATCGAGACGGCCAACAGCTTCGCCGTCACCAACGCCTGTAAGTCAGCAACCCCGCTTCATGTTGTGTTTGTGCGGTTTTGGGGAGTTCATGATCAGAGTCAAAGAAAGAAAGTAAGACTTTCCACGGCGATCTGATGTAAAGCTCGCGGCCCTGTGAGGGCAGCAGAGCAGAGCATGGACAAAACTGGCTTTATATTGAAGGATAGGTCAGGCACATCATTTACCATCAGTTTCATAGGAATAACATAGTACTCACAAAGTAAAAGAAATAGCTAGACGTGCAGTTTGACACGAGAGCAATTCATAGAATGCAATTGTACATCAGTGAATGAATGCAAATATGAGACAGGTGCTCATGGGTTACAATATGCTCTTTCACATTTTAACACATAAGAAGAAACCAACTGAGAAGACAAAAATCCTCCATAAATACCCCCCTCCCCCCCCTCCCCCCAACCGTCTGTCACTACAGAGTTGTCAGTTAAAGCCAGCTCAGTTTTAAGTTCCTTGATGTGAGATACTGCGGTGACCATACCTCAAAATATGTAAATGTGTCTAAAGTGTGTATCCTATTCTTTTTAGATGGAGTGTGTTTGTTAGTTCTTAATGCATCCATTTCATATATATATATATATATATATATATATATATATATATATATATATATTTTTGCTGTGTTCTGGGTTCAGAGAGCATGGCTATAAAGAAGTGTATTACAAAAGTATTAGACATTCATATTGTCAGACTTACTTGGAAAAGAGAGAGAATGTCCCCAAATATCCGTTGTACAAATCCTTGACAGATTGTCACTCTGGTTGGAAAGCTGTATTTACCCAATTTTCCCAATATGCTTCATGTTTGTAGCCCCCATTGGAGCTATTTTTTAATCCATTGAATTGTTTTATTTAGATCTCAGTAGTTATTTTTGTGAGATTAACACTATGTTAATACTTAAAACTTAAAAGACATAAAACTAAAAAGGATGTAAATATGGTCCAAAACTTTGAAATGAAGACCCGCAGTGTAACAAACCCGTCCTATCTTTTAGATTTTGGGCAATCTTTGGTGTTATGTTCAACATGCATTTCATTGTTTAGACAGTTTAGAGTAATTTTAGGATTAAAGTTTAAGAGAAAGATAAATATCATAGTCATATAATAGCTTATCCTCAGTGAACAAGTGGAAATGTTGTAAATGAGGCATGCATGACCCATATATAGGCCAGACATACGCTGCCAGTAAAACAGCTCATTGTGTGTTTATGTGTGTTTTTCTGTGTTTTAGGCTGCATGATTGTACATGTATGTGTGTGTGTGATGATGTGTTACTATACAGCTGTGTGTGTGTGTATCTCTGCTGGTTCACATCTGATCTGAGAGCACAGTCACAAACGCTGAAGGGGACGGCAGCTGTAAACACACACACACAACCATCACACACTCTGCCTCTGTTAGATCTCTTAACAGTAGTAGGCAGTGATTCTTTTTGGTGATGATCCCGGGGGAAACATTGTCTTCTTTTTCTTGTTTTCGGTTTGTATTTGTGTGTGTGTGGTCGTGTGTTTGTGTGTGTGGGCGTGTGTGTGTGTGGGGGTTCCTGAAAGACCATAAAACGCTGCAACCTGATGTCTTCTACTATCTGTGGTGTGATCTGGTGTTAGAAAAATCAATGGCTAAATTAAGCAGAGAATGAAGTGCTGTTATGTTTGTTTGGTCAGTGTGTGTAGGGAGGGTGGGGTGTAAAGTGTGTGCATGTGTGTGTGTATGGGTGTGTGGTTGTGTGTATGGGGGGGGTTGTGCAAGGTTGTGTGTTTGAGTTTGAATGACACTGTGTGTGTAACAACATATGACCCCATATTTACCCTCACGACGACCTAATGAACCTTAACTGTGAACCATTGGTTTCCATAGCTACCATAAGGCATATTACGCTCACTAAAAAAAATATGAAGAATTAAGAGATTTAAGCAGGTAAACCAGTATGGTTTAATGATAGACAAAACCACGCTCAACTCCCTTTCAATGTAAAACAACTGGGTTCTTAATCCCCAAACATGTTTAAACAAGAAAAACGATTAGGATGAAGGTTTTGAGCAGACGCTCTTCTTCAGCGTGAAATTTTTGCTGCTGTTTCAAGCCACAATATTTACGCCCCTGTGACGTTTTCACCCTCAATCTGAATGTAGCGGAGGCGTAATGGAGGGAAGAAGTGTCCCCCCCCCTCTCTACCGTCTCATAGGTAGTAATAGACGCGTTACAGAGGTGAGATGGGATCAGCGGAGCAAGCGGGGGAGCACAGCGCTGTGTGTGTGTGTGTGTGTGTGTGTGTGTGTGCATGTCTGACTGTGTGTGTATGTGAAGCTCCGGCTGTGCTTCCACAATGTGAATTCACAGACTGGAACACCGATATTACACCATTGTGGAATCGAAATGAATGTAGAAAGACGTCATGTCGGCTGAGCTTAGTTAGTAGTCTGAACAGGGCTACAGACAGACGTTTTTTTTGTGAGTTTTCAACCCTTGTTGGACTAAAATCTCTTAATTGACACTGAAAACATTTGTATTTTCACAGTCTGGTTTTGGTACTTTATTTAAATTGCATCACAGCACACTCAGTAAAATCTCCCTTGCACCATCACAGCGGTATATTTCTTCTGTACTTTGGTGTTTTTCTTCTCCGTCAGGATTATTGGAAACCTTGAAACAATGCTGATGTAAGCACCTTTTTTTCCACTGTTACATTTTTATTGCTGAAACCAATGTATCTGTAAAGGTTTGGCCTGTTATTGACCTCTAAGATGAAATTACCGTAGATGAAGTTGTATTGATCTCTGTGGGGAAATGGGTTGTGCCTGCAGCATGCAGAACATGGCAAAGAAAAGTGGGATGAAAAAAAAAAATGAGCATGAGATAGGAATGGTAAATGAGGAATTAAAACAATTTCAGGGCAACATATACATTAGACGTGCGCACATGCATAATCATTGACAGCTGCAGAAAATTTATAGCGGACTGTTGGGGAAAAAGCATGAATATTTATGTTTTGTAGGAAAAATCATCATAATTATCCAGTTTGTTTGATTATTTAAAAGAAACATACACATAGCCACGCTGATCTAGATCCTCGAGTGTTTCTTGTGAGTTACTTTTCTAAATAATTTGCACAAAAGAGGATTTTCTGATGTAATAAGAGAGTCCTCTCGCAGAGTCAGAAGCATGTTCATTCAATAACCCATTTTGAATGTATCTTTCACTTGCAAGGTTGCAACATCTTCTAAAAAAGGCATTTTGTATTCTGCGGGTCAATACCGATTCTGAAATGAGGCGGAGAGGCAGTAAGCGGCTGTTTAGAGGAGCCCTCAGTGACAGCAGTAGTCTTTCACTAAAGAGGCCTGGCTGGGCGTAAACTGTATGTTTCAGAAAACTGTGGGGATTTTTTACCTCCTAGTCTAATGGCTGCACAGTCACAGGAAGTGAGTCTGCAGTGCATTGATTGGCCAAAGCCAAATCAGAGCAGAATTACATGAGCCAATCAATGGCTCTGATAGCTCAGGGCCAGCAGGGAATCTGAGATCGAACCACATCGCTCGTATTCACCCCCACGTTTTGCATTTCCCAGGCTCTTTATGCCTCTTTTTTTCCCCCTCTTCTCGGCCTTCTTGTTTCGCTCCATTGTCATCGGCCCCTGAGATAATGGTTATGAATAGGCAGCGTTAGCATGTGACGTTTAAGGGCATAGCATACATTTGGGAAGGGGAGATGAGAGAGGGAGCTAATTTGTGAAGAGAGATTAGGCCATTCAGCGGCTCGGAGCGCTGCTGTCGGGACGGCTGATGGGGATAATTGGTGGGAGGACGGGGACAAATGTTATTGTATGTTCCCTTTGTCCCATCGACAATCTTTCTGTCACCCAAGACACTCTGATAGATTCTGTTTCACATGTTTGATTAACTGTAAAGTCTCCATATGACTAGCCAGTAGGTCACCAGTTTTAAAGCCAATGAATTGCTGTGATTTAAAGCTCCTAATGATTTATGATTTCATTGGTTTTCTCAACTTTCAAAGCTCTGACTCTTTTGCAGTACACACTCAGATATACATAATACATCGGCAATCGAGATAATTGTGACACCTCGGTATAATTACTATGAACAGATGAGACAATGGGCGAGACATTTGTTATTCTCCGGTCACAGAGGAGGTATTCAGCGCCTCCCACGGACTAAGATTAATTTCTGGTGATTAACTCTCTGGGCAAATTAGGATTCTGCCAAAAATGGACAAATGACAATAGTTTGTCTTCCAGAAAAGAAATGAGTTCAGGAAATTTCATTGCATTCATTCCTTTTGGTTATAAAAAGATTAACAAAGAAGTAGTATTTGACTTTTAAGGTGTTAGAGCACCACATGTATAGGGATACAGATCCATACCAGCGTCTATCTGGAACAGTTAATTTCAGCTACTGTCTCTTTAAGGCCCCCCTCCCTAAACACCCGCTTTCTTCTCATTGGCCAGTTCTCTAGAAGCTTTCCAGGGTGGGCGTGTCCTTTAACGTTTCCAGGGGATGGGGCTGTTCTCCAGAGCCTGACGTCATGTTCTGACCCGTCTTCTTAGACTCTCCAATTGAAACCAGCCAATCAGAGAAGCCGGAGGTCACCTAATAGGATCCAGTTCCTGATTTTTTTTTCGAAACCTGATAAATTAAAAAACGTTTGATCTTATCGATGCTGCTGTTGAGTCTCGTAGGTCTTTTAATTTGACGGGATATATCCAGTTGAGTCACCTCATTTTAATCACTGGTACAAACAGTAATTGTCTAAAAAAGTTTCCGATCAAAAAGGTCTTAAGTTTGGCTACACTTAAATGAAGTAAAAGACAAGGAGGAAGTGACATGCAATTGATGAAAGTAGGGGGAACCTCAACGGTCAAGCACTGCAGTAATGCGAGTCAAGGCGAGGTAAGGCAGGCTAGACACCAGTGACATTGAAATGCTAATGACAGCCATTTAAACCCCCTGTGGCTTAAGCCCCCCCCCAT